AATGCAAACTTGATGATTACCAAGACCAGAAGATATTAGGTGGCACCTAGTCTACACTCAGGGAGCTCTGGTGGCTTAGTAGCAAGAAGCTGCACTGCAATCCCAAAGGCACACGGTTAGAATCCACCAGCTGCTCCATGGGGGAAAGATAGGCAATCTCCTCCTGTGTGAATAACTGCCTCTGAAAACCCACCCGAGTGTCAGCCATGGGCCAGTTCAGACTCAATGGTATACAACAACAACCCATAGGTAATCAAATAATGATCAGTTGAGGGGCTTATTGTGGGGGGGGGGAAGAATTAAAAATAGATTTAAAAAAACCCCAATGTCAATAGGTTGTCTCTTACAAACCTACAGATATTTGGCTCCAAATATCTTTCCTGCAGTTTTGCTGTCTTGATTTTTACCCCAAACTGCTCCATGATCATTGTTGACCTTGTTTTCCCCTCCTCAGATCAAAGGAATCCGTCATAACAAATCCATTCTCTTGTCATAGTGAAGCTGGAACAAGAGAGGTCAAGGTTTCCGTCTGTTGTTCCCAGGATGGCTGTGACTCGTTGACTCAATGACACCTAACTACAATAACATGAAGCTATTAATCAGTAATGCTAACCATGGCTTAAGCCAGGCCTCAGCATTTAAACTGACGTACATCCTTTAAAGATGTCTCTGACAGCAGATTGACCCAGTGTAGCACATCTTTTGATTTCTTGACTGCTGGTATGAATGTTTACTATGGATCCAAGTAAGATGGAGTCATTGACAATTTCAATCTTTTTCATCTATCATGATGCTACTTATTGGTTCAGATTTTATTTTCTTGATATTTAGGGATAATTCATACTGAAGACTCTATCCTTTGATCCTCATCCAGAAGAGCTTCAAGTCTTCTTCCCTTTCTTCAAGGAAAGTTGTGTCATTTGCATAATGAAGGTTATAGATGAGGCTTCCTCCTACCTTGATAACATAGTGATTCTTCTGGTTTCTTCAATGATTTGCTCAGTATGCTCATTGAGTAGGTGTGGAGAAAGGATACAATCCTGAGGCACATCTTTCCTGCTTGTAAACCAAGCAGCATCTCCCTGTTCTATTCCCATGACTTTTTCTGGGTCGATTTACAAGTCTCATAGGAGCATTATTAAATGTTTTGAAATTTCCATTGTGGACGGTGCTATCCATAGTTTCTTATAATCCACTGTTAAATACCTTTTTATAGTCAATAGAACACAAGATAATATCTTCCTGGTATGTTCTGCTTTCAGTCACGGTCTATATGTCATCAAAAATTATATCCCATGTTCTTTGGCCTCTTCTGAATCCAGCTTGAATTTTTGGTGGTTCCCTGTTAAAGTACTGCTCTAGCTGTCTTTGAATTGATCTTCAGCAAGATTTTACTTGTGTGTAATATTAATACTATTGATCAATAACTTCCACATTTTTTTAAAAGGGCACAAATAGAGATCTTTTCCAGATAGTTGGCCAAGTAGGTGCCTTCCAAATTTCTTGACATCGATAAATGAGCAATTCCAGGGCTGCATCTATTTGATAAAATAAGTAGTTTGGAATTCTATCAATTCCTGGATCCTTATTCTTTGCCAATGCCTTCAATGCTCGGACTTCTTCAATACCATTGGTTGACTGTATGCTTTTTCCTGAAATTATCCAGTTGCCCGATATTTTTCTTGTCCACCAGGTGGCACCAAACTCATATTATGGTGTTTCCTAATTTTTTTTAACATCCTCACTAAGATTCTTCTTGTTGTTATGTGCCATGGGGTTGCCTGCGACTCATAGAAGCCAGGTACAATACCTCTAAAACATGCGCTATCCTGAGCCAGTCTCACTGACTGACACACCTACCTGCATTATCCCAGTTACTGTGTCAGTTGCTCTCATCCAGGGTCTTCCTTTTTTCTCCCCGCTCCCTCTTTTCCCTCTCCCCGCCCCCCCTGCTTGTTGTGTACTGTTGAACTGGATCTAACTGGCACAGGAGGAGATCACCCCTCCTTCTCCAGCAGAACATCCACTTTACTACACAGCTCTTATTCTGGACTCTTGTCATACTAATAATACCTAATCATATATTCCTTTTATACAGTTCTCTCCCTCATCTGTTTCAATGCCATATACGTTATTTATCCCCTCTTTTCTTAATTTCCCTCCAACCCACATAAGAGTCCTGTTTTATAACAATAACATTATGCAGTACTTGTCTTTTTGTGACTGAGATATTTCACTCAGCGTAATGTCCTCCATGATCACCCATTTTGTATAATATTTCATGAGTTCTTTGTTTTTCAGACTTTAAACTTTGTTTTTCAGACTTTCTGACTTTAAACCATGCAATGTTTCCTTGCTCTGTTTGGATAGCTATTTCTTGGTTTATGTATAGTTTCACATGTACACAATTAAGGGCCCGGGATTCCCATTCTTCTCGATGTTATCCATAATTTGTTATGATTCACACAGTTAAATGCATTGGCAGAGTCAATGAGCTACAGATAAGCATTTTTCTGGTATTTCCCCGCTTTCAGCCAAGATGTATTTGACATCCGCAATGATAGTTCTTGTTCCACAGACTTTTCTGAATCCAGTTTAAATTTTTTGCAGTTTCCTGTTGATGTACTGTTGTAGCTGTCTTCGAATAATCTTCAGCAAGATTTTGCATGTGATAATATACTATTGCTCAATATTTTGAATCATTCTTTTTTGTAATGGACACAAATATGAATCGCTCCTAGTCAGCTGGTCAGATAGCTGTCTTCCAAATTCCTTGGTATAGTCGAATGAGCAGTTCCAGGCCTGTGTCTGTTAGGTGCACTACCTCAGTTGATATTCTGTCAGTGTCTGTGACCTTGTTTGTTGTTAATGCCTTCACTGTAGGTGGGCTGCTTTCTTCACTGCTTTTCTTCCCTTGTTCATAGACTATTTCCTGAAACGTTTTCATCTGCCAATACTTCCTTTGTCCACTAGGTGGCACCAAGCTCATGTTCTTAAGATTTCCACCCTCCCAATGTTTTATTTTTTTTCAATTCTGAAGCACTTGTTTACGAAGTAATATGGGGAGAGGGGTGTATCTCTATACTTTATGCTTTCATGTGTAGTGCCATTTTCATTCTCGGAACACTTGCAGTCTTTTGCTCCAGCTAAATGGATTCTTTGCTTATTTTTCTTTAATTTGCCCCAATTTAGTTCCATTTGCTTGCCAGAAAGACTGGTGCAAGGCTGCCTTCTGATTTATACAACCGTTGAGCAGATCTTGAGCTGAACCAGCAGTATATATCTATGGAAAATAACACCTATAAAGAGTATTTACTGCATGATCTCTCACAGGGAGAGAGAACTTGTATGAAAATTGTGATGGTGAAACTGCTTTTTGGTGCTCAAGTGACACCCAGGGCATGTTAGTGGCTGCTATACATTAGACATGATTCTGTGATTGGCATTTGGTTCACTGACTTCAAATCTGTGCTGGCTCCTTATCCATCCACTCCCCTGTCCAATCATCCACTCTCCTATCTGTTCACATGTCCATAGACATATTCATCTATCCCCCTATTAGCCATTCACTGCGTAAATGCAACAGATATAATGAGCCCTAATTTTGTGTCTACCTCAGGCCTAATGCCCATCCTTGATCCTTGAAAAGCCAAAGAGAAAAGAGGCATAATGTCTGCCCTCAGTAAACTATCACCCAGAGAGGTTCACCTGTTTCGTAAGCACGTAACTGATGCACAACAAAGACTGAGACTGGAATTATTCAGCTCTCTGTGCAAGTTCCTCCATTTGTCTGGGTTACATTCCGCCATTCACAAACTTCATTCAGACAACAAATATTGTGTGCACCCTGTGTGTCTAGGATGGCTTTCTCCCGATAGCGAAGCCTACAGTCCTTACAGAGGGTCAATCTGAGTTGTGGTAGACTTGCTGGCCCTAAAAACAACAACACAGACTTTACAACAACACTCGACAGTCACCTTTTTACCCCAAAGTGGAGCAAATAACTTTCTCTCCTGAGTCACTTTTCTGTACCAGGGTATTCTATGTTCTGTTCTAGGGTGTGACCTCCTGGGTCCGTTCTAACAGCCGACCTAGAGCCTGGGTCACGTGAGCAACCTGAGTGGGGGAGAATCCATCAAGTGAACAGCCACTATGCATTTAGCAGATAGAGGAGAGAAGAGTGAGAAAACTTCCCAGTGTGGGAAAGCTGCCACCTCCAGACTCACGCTACCTGCACTTGAACCCTCGTACTACCAGTGACTGAGGCAAGTGTTGCAACTTCTCTCTGTCCCAGTTCTGCATCTGTAATATGGGGATAATAGCAACCCCTCCCTAGGGCTGTTGGGAAGATTAAATGGGCTGATTTATTTGTAAAAAACCTCATTGCTATCAACTCAGAACCAACTCAAAGCTGACCCTCCATTGGGTTTCTGAGGCTGTAAATTACACAGGAAGATACTACATGTCTCTCTTCTCTCAAAGTCACTTGTGGATTCGAACCACCAAAGAGGTATTTATAACCTTGGGGTTAGCATTGCAAATACCTATAGATTATGTATGTCATAGGAGCTCCCTGGTTTATGTAACGTGCATTGTTTATATCATCACAGCTTTTTTCTGTCATTAAGAAGCTATTACCTGGGGTGGAAGGGGGGTTAACTTTAGGGTTGGACAATTTGATGGGTGAAGAGGAATGGTGAAGGAAATGGATGTGTATATTAACTTTATAAATCAACAAGTATAAAATTATTTTTAAAAAATTTTAAAGAAGTTATTACACCATGAGTATTCCTCCGTCCTAAGCTTTAAACTTCCGGTTACTGGCCCCCCCCTCCCCAGTAACCAAAGTCCACAGTCCTCTAATTGATTGTAATTCCTGCCCATCTTCTGTCATGTTTCTGAGATTCTAAATCTCTACAGGAGGAGAGCATGCCTGATGGATTTAATGGCAGCCCAACATGTAACACACTGCACCACCAGGGCTCCAGGGCTCCTAAACCATGGACCACGCCAGTACCCAGGGTCAGAGGAGAGCCTCTGCCTGCAGGTAGGGTGTGTGTGTGTGTGGGTGTGGGTGTGTCCTATAACTGATTCTGTTTTTAGAAAATTCTCTGACGGAGACAGGGAATTGTCTTTCAAAGAGAGAAGCCAATCCTTCAGTTTTATTGCTCTTGGAAGTTCCAGCTGACAAAGGAAGATGGGGGTAAGTGAAGAGGTCTTTATATAAACCAGACTGCCCACAAATCACCCAGGAAGCAGCTGGTGACAAAAGCCTCTCTCAGGCGTGCGTCCTCTATGGGAGGGATGGAGAAACTGCGTCATTACAGGCACTCTGAAATTAATTAGGTGTTATCAGTTCAGTGAACTTCTGATTCAAAAACCTCCTTTCCAGCGTCTGGTGTAAGCAATCGTTCAGGACTTCAGAACAGATCTGCACTTTCAGGGCTCAGCTGTTGGTGCTTTGCAGGAGGCAGGTGAGGCCTACCTGGTTGGTCTTTTTGAAGATACCAAGCTGTGTGCTATCCGTGCCAGGAGACCTCCAGCTGCATATGTGGAAAGCGTGCTGAAGAATCCACTATGTTCGGAAATATTTCATTCTTCTTTTTTTTGCAACATTTTTTATTTTAATTGAGATTTTAATGAAAGTTTACAGAAAAGTTAAATTTTCATTCATTGTTACACATTTGAAACATTTTATTCTTTAAAACCCCCAAAATTTCTTCTTCCTGTTATAACTTTTTTCCATGGGGTCAAAAGGTACCTCAGTATATGATTGTGAATGGGAAAATAGGGGGAAGAAATCAGGGACTGGAGGTTTTCCCATTTTCATTTGTGTATGGATTTCTAATATAAATGGTGGGATGGAAGCATTACTGCAAGTCAGAAAAAATGTTTCCATGAACAAGTTTCAGCAGTTCAGCTTTGTAAAAATTATAAATAAACCTGTTACTTTTTTCTTTTTTTCTGGACAATGCCAGCATTTGGTGTTTGTTTTTTTTTTAAAAAAAAACAAACCAAGTATATTTCTTATTAATTGCAACTAAACTGTGGGTGGCATTTTTATCATACAGTAGATACATTCATTCACTATACTTAACTGAGTTGTCCTACATGCAAGTACATGTTTTTAATGTTGTCTGTCTTTTATGCTGTTCTGTAAGTCTGCTATTAAAACACATTAAACCATAAAAACAAAAAGAAAAAAGAGAAAGAGAAAGCAGACAGATAGATTGTATGTAGCAAGAAGAAGGGGGTGAGGAACTTTCGACCAAATTCATTCAGGCCGTGTGGGCGAGCTTGTGGGTAGAAACAGGAACACGAGGCTTTGTGCCCACAAGGTTTCTGTTCTTTTTCTCTCTACCCACCAGAAAACGAAGGATTCCAGATACAGATCCCAAATGAGTCAGCTCCCCTCAGCTAAAACTAAGACAGCAACTGCTTCCAACCCAGCCTCTTTAATTCTAACGCCACTCCAGCTCATCTGTCCTGCTGAAGCTTCTCCATCGCCTCTGGGCTGAGGAATGGGGCAGAAGTCTATAGAATCCAGAACACCAGCAGGAGGAAAGTTTGACTGCTCGCCAAACTCACCTTCAGACCCTCTCCTTGCCCTCAACCTCTTGTCACAGTCTTTAGCGGCTAGGACTAGGCTTGGCTAGCCATGGCCTGGCCGTCACTGGCTTTAGGAGATGGGGAATATTACCCTGCTCCTGTCAGCCACTCATTTGCCTTGCCCCACACCCCTTGCTGACTCACTAAAATGGAGCTATGGGTTTTCGACACCTAAAATATTTCTCTGGAGGCTCAGAGCCTTCAACTGTAAAAACTGGGTGGAATTAAGAAACACACTCTTCTGTGCTAAGTCATCCCTGGGAACTCTGGAAGTGCGGTCTGTAGGGAGTTGCGCCACCCCAAAGGTGGTAGGGTTTGAATTCACTGTCAGCTTCAAGGGAGAAAGATGAGCAATTTCCTCTCATGTGATTTACAACTTTTGAAAACACGCTGGAAGGTCACCTATTAGTCAACACACACTTGAATGAGTGAATGAGTGAAATCAAAAGTGAGATGTTTTACATCGACTCTTCTCTGATTAGAATTTGCTTTGACCGGGCCTGAAGAATAATGGAAGTATGTTGGAGAGCTTGAGAAGGAATGGACCTGTATTTATTCAGTCTTGTCTCTTTTTTCACTGATCAAGGGTGGAACCCAAGTCTGAAGAAAGGGACAAATGCCAAAGTCAAGGTTCAACAGCTCTTTGATGTTTAGAGACCTCTCGGACATTCACTCTTGTCCGTTAGTCTCCCAGCCTCTGGGAGTCACTTTTGGGTCATCTTTTATCTTCTTTGGAATCTAGACCACAAAGCTATATTTCCTTCCTTCTTTTTATTCTTCATTTTTCTGTTACCATTGATTTTTTGAAATTCAACGCGCCCTCCTTTCTTCTCGTACTGTCCCTCATCTCCAGCCTTCCAGGGTCCTTCCTCCTACCATATGGCTTCTGTAGTCTCTTCATGACTTCTCACCTCTGGATGAAGTTGCTACCACGTCCCTCATCCCTAACTGCCCCTCAGTCCACTCCAGCTGACCTTTCTCACTCTCCCAACACAGTCCACCTCAAGGGCTCCAAGAGCCTCTGTTGTTAGATCCAAGGACTTCTCCATGTCTTACCTCATTTGGTTCTGTGTAGCCCATGACCTTACTGACACTCTTCTTCTTCTGGGCTCCCTTCCAAGATGCCCTTCTGTCTCTGAGTCTCCTTCTGCTCTGTCTTCATAGGCTCCTCTTCTGCCCTGTTGCCAGCATTAATTATTCCTTGGGTTCATCCCAGCCTCATCTTTATCCTCCCCGCTCTTTACACTCACCAGGATCTTATTTAGAACTTTTGCTGAGGGCTCCAACAAGTCTACAGTTCCAACTTTTCTCCTGAAATTCAGAATCACACACTCAGCTGCCTCTGGGATACTTCTGCTTGTAGACCTTAGCAGCCCCTCATATACACTATAGTCTTTGTAGCATAATAATCTTAGTAGTCAACAACAACATTTCTTACTATGTGTCACACACTCGTTTAAACATTTCATACTTACTTAGTAAGGGTGGAGGGTCTGCTAGGGAAAGGAAGACCTTCAACCAGATGGACTGACACAGTGACTGCTGGTCACCTAAGGGACTCTAGGGTGTCAGGAAGTGTGAACATGGCACAGGACAGGATGGGGTTCAGATATGAGTTGTACTTCACGTGATGGTACCTGTTGCAGAACGTTGGGGGGGAAGGGGGGGGTCTCTGTCCAGGACAGATCGCCTAAGCTTCAGATAAGTACAAGCCTCCCAATGACCTTTAGTACGGGGTAGAGAAAGCTCCCCTGTGTTTGGCTGACCCTCTTGAGAAAGCTCACCACTTGGGAAGACGGCTGCTGCGTCTGTTGAGCTGGGAGTGGTCCCCACGAGGCTGAGGTTCTCCTAACCAATCCACATGTCCCACGTCTGTAAGCCCACCCTATCCTGTCTTCCTGTTTATATAAGATCCCAATAAAATTGAGCTGGATTGACTCTCTGATCTTCTCCCGGAGTGGTGTATCTCTGTTGTGCTTACCCCCATCAGGGTGTCGCTGTTAAGTTGGTGGTGAACAGAGACAGGCACCTAACAACAACAACCTTAGAATTCCAGAAGGTGGTATTTTCATAAGCATACCAGTTTTACAAGTAACTAAGGCACAGAGAGTTTAAACAGTTGAAGTTCTTACATGCTTCAGGCTGGTTCTTCTCAAAACCAACAACTGGTCTACTCCCTTCCCACCCCCCTTCTTTCTTTTCCAGTGTTCTTTAGCTCCAGGTCATCTCTACAGCCCAAGCAACTACCAGTTCTGTTGATACTAATCTCCTTGCACCACTAGCTTCAGTCTCACTAGCTCCCTCTACAAGCCCACATCATCTCTTGTTCAACCAATCTGTCTCCAGCTTTAGGATGTTATTGTTGTTGTGTTATGTACCACTGAGTGGAACCAGCTCTTAGCTGACCCTCCAGCAGGTTTTCAGAGGCAGCAAATCACATGGGAGGAGACTGTCCATCTTTCTCCCTCAGAGCAGCTGAACCGTACCCTGGCTTTCTAAAATGTAAATGTGAGTTATTTCAGCCCCCTGATCATTTTCTTCCATGCTTGCCCCTGCCATCAAGACAAAAGTCGACATGTCTCAAGGGAATTTCAACATCCTGGGGCTCACTTCCCCTTCCCTTCCTCCCTCACTGTCCTTATCTCATCTCTTGCTACTTCCTACCTCCCACTTGCTGGTTCCCATCACTGGCTTTGTCACACAAGCAGGGACTTCTAATTTTTGCCCTTCTGCATCTGACTGTCTTTTTCAGACGCGAGCTTCATGTAGTCTTTGTGCTGGAACTCAGGAACTCGGAGACCTGTAAGCTCTAGTGCAAGTCTCACCATGGCTCAGATGCCATTTGGGTTTCCTCCTGACCGGTACCTGCCATGTGGCTTAGACCTCAGGGGAAGTGCAGTTATATTTACAGCTGCCTGATCAACTTGTGCAGAAGCAGTTCCTGGACCAAGCATGTCTTTAATAACCCCCATAGTGTTGCCACTGAGGTATCCAAATGGGCTCAAAGGATCCTTGCCTCTCTTCCGGAGTAGAGCGGAGGGAGGGAGTCCAGTCGTTGCATATGGAAGAGCAGATTCTATTTTACTTGCAGCAAGTAAAAAGGTTAGGGCCTTTGTAAAAAAATTGTCTCAGAAAGGGAAATTTTGCAGGTGCTTTACAGGTTATGGGTGTGAGGAAAGACACATGCTTATTTAGTTCTTTGGGACTGAGGGGAAAATGTTGTTTTCCTGAAAAAGGAGATATTATGCAGATCAGGGTACATACACAGCTGTTCTTCATGGTGGAGTGATGGAGTCTTCTGGTTACATGTTTATCACAACTACTTCATCGTGGGCTATGCTGTAAGTGTCTTCTTCTTGGGTCTGATCCCTTGTTCTGGGGTTGAGTTTCAGAAAAATCTCTGCAGGGCTGTACGGCAGTCACTCTTTTTGTGTCTGGGCGTGGGTAGCACTTGAAAGCCCTTGCAGATAAAACTATTAATGCAAAACGCTAAGGAAAAGTTTACACACGGGTAGCGTTAATCTTGAAGGTTTAATAGGCATGAGAAGATAGAGAGAAGGGAGAGAAAAATTAATAGATAAAATCGGGTGGATGGAAAAACAATACAATAAAGATTTGACTATATCTTTTTATTAGCTATATTAATCAGTTGTAATTAGTGTTGCAAACCAAAATACTTACGAATGATTGAATGAAAATGCAACATGATTTGAAAACTTACATTCAGATGAAATAAATGTATAACTAATTATTTAATTTTAATGACAGTTTACAGACAAGTTGGATTTTCACTTGCTCATTGTTGCACATTTTTAGCCCCTCTCCCTCAGCTGAGATGTATTTTTAAAAATTGTTAGCAGAATTAAAGATCATTAGGAAGTAACATCTGAGACTGTGATAACCATCTTGTGGCTGGGCCCCTTGAGCTCTGTCTTGACAGTTCAGATCAGCAGTTGGCCAGGCAGAGGCAGCAGGAGCCCGCAAATCAATCTTGAAAGGTTGTAATTGGAATTTGGGTATGTTTCCCTACCCAGGTCCTTCACTCACCAAAGTAGCCCCGCTTCCAATGGTGCTCAGATTCTTACAAATGAAAACAGTAGTCATGGTTCATGAAACTTCAAAGGTGCCATTGCTAGTGTGTGTTCTCATGTTGAAATGGTTTGTCTGTTTTTGTCCTGTTTGTATTTTTAATAAATAGTCTTTATAAAACCTGCTCCAGTTTTGAGATGTCTGCTCCCCCTGCAACACTTTGAAGACTCAGCTCAGGTTTCACCTTCTCCAGGAAGCTGTCCCGGAAACTCATCCCTGTCCCCAAATTTGAACTGGACGCTGTCGCCTGAGATTTCCCTCTCATAGCAACAGCCTTCCGATTTACATATTTGCCTTTTCTGCTTACCCCAGGACTGAAAGGCTTTTCTGTCTTATGTTTTCTCCCTCACCTAGCAAAGGTAGAGAAACATAATTATCAACCTCAAATTCGGTATAAATGAGTGAGGGAATGAATGAACGAATGAGGACTTATATTATGCTCCTCCCAGGAGCCAGATAGTAATTTATTGACTCAGAGGTTTCAAATCCTTAGGAATGGGATCCACTCATGTCCATGAGACCTGCTGACTGAAGTTTCAAGGTCAAGGGAAGCCTGTTGCCTTTGCAAGGAGGATCATCTGGGAAGAAGAGAGGAAGGCAAGGGGTTTGCATCCACTCAAGTCTAAATTGGGTGGGGGGAAGCAACCCAAGTCATCTCTCATTGGAGACTTCCTGCGGGAACCAGTGGGCTGCCTGGTCCACTTCTCTGTTGCTTTGAACCACATCCTCCACCCTTCACTTCTGAGTCATGCTGACGGCTCTCTCCCCTGACGCTGGTCTCCTGACCATCGTTCTGCTCTCTTCCTTCCCTGGTGCCTTGGTCCAGTAGCACTCCCAGTGGTCCTGGAGCTTGGAGCCCCATGCCTGACCCAAGAGACATGATCAGAACAGTTCTCCTTCTTCTGATGGGTGAGCTGGGGTCCTCAAAAAAGGGGGAGAGGGAGCTGGTGTCTAAGTAGAAAGATAAATAAGATAACATATATTTTAAACTCAAGTATTAAGGGGAGACTGGTACAAGGATTTGGGATCTGGAGTTTAGGAGGTATTGGAGAACCTACTTTGTGACGGTATAAAAAATGCTGGAGGAGATGAAGTTGTCTGGATATACCAGAAATTTATAAAGTAGTTAGATGTTCTGCCCCCCATGTCTTTTGTCCCCAAGTTTTGCTAGACTCTTCCTTATAGGAGCCTAAGGGGTTCAGCTGAGGATCAATCACCGTTAGAGCTTAGTGGTCACGCTGGAAGCAAAGAACTGAAACCTAAGGGCAGATAAATAGATAAAGTGCTTTCTCTGCACTGAGAGGAAAGGGGGTCAGAGGGAGGCCTGACCTAGGAGTCCAGAAGACAAGAAGACTCGGGGACGTTGAACTTGGAGGAAACACTGAGGGACTGGGCTCCTGGGAGATGAGGCCAAGGGGAATATTCTCCAGAACTTCTCTCTTTACACCCTCCTCAGCCTTCACCACTTCTCTCTGCTTCAACTTGGACACTGACAAGCCAACAGTCTTCCACATGGACAGAGCTGGGTTTGGACACAGTGTGGTCCAGTATGCTGACAACTCGTGAGTATCAGTGGTGACCGACCTCTGGCTCTCACCAACTCTCCTCGCTGCCCAAGGGTTCGGTCCCTCCCCATCTGCTTTCCTTCCTTCATCAACCCTCTTCTTCGTCTCCTGTGGCAATTCCCCTAAAATGATGAATATATTTCTACTGAGAGCAGGAGCTATCTTACCACCACGATACTTGTATCTGACATTTATCGAGCCCTTACCAAGTGCCAGGCATTATGTCAAGCATGTTATGTGTTGTTGTTTTGTGGTTGGTTTGTTTTTTAAATTTTATTTTATTCATTTTAATGAACATTTACAGAGATTTTGGATTTCCATTCATTCACTGGTCGTGGTGTTTTGTGAGGTCAAGTCAACTAGTACTCATAGTGAACCTGCAAGCAGCAGACTTGACCCTGTCCTACCCTGTGCCTTCCTCATCGTCTCTGACACACTTGAGTCCGTGGCTACAGTCACTGTGTTGATCTATCTTGCTGAGGATTTTCTCTTTATCTGACCCTTGACCTTTCCAAGCATGCTGTCCCTTTCCTAAGACACTGATTTTATTCTCAGGGCATTTTGGGGGTAGTAGCAACCATCCAGTTCAACAAGGACTTGTTGAGTGCCCACATATGCCAGGCAGATGACACGGTGATTGTAGCAATGGGCTCCTGCCCGGAGGACATGAGCATGGCCCAGGAAAAGGCTAGATTCAGATTTATGGTTCACGGGGGCTTTGCGAGTCATAGTCAACTTGATGGCACCTAACAACAACAGCATCTCAGGAGCTGGACATACAACAAAGAATTAACACATAATTCCCTCCCTTCACCATGGAGCTTTGGCTGTTTTCAGAGAAGTGACATACACTTACCAAGTAGCAGTTGGGCTGCAGAGACCACTTCTTTTTTCCTGCCTTAGGATTTATTTGTACAAATAACACAGGAGAACACCAGCTCCATGCAGATGGCAGCAGCCCAGGGGGTTACACCAGTCCTTCTGTCCTCAGATGAAGAACTCAATTATGGAGCCTTTGCAGGGGCCTGGGCACCTTTAGGAGCCTGGCTTGGAGCAGGAGTCTGGGTTGAGGCCTTAGCTGGCGCCCGAGTTGAAGACTTTCTTGGAGCTTTGGCCTTACTGTCAGCTTTGGCTTTGAATTTTGGCCGGTTAAGCCCAAGTCCCTTGGCAATGCGGGCCTGAGCACGCTTCCCAAGCCCGGGATGGGTGATGTAGGCGAGTCAGCTGAGGCTGCGGTTGACACCCCTTGGGATCCTGGGCTTGACAAGAGCCTTCACAGCCTCGGCACGTTCATCCACGGCCTTGGCATTGTTGGCTTGCATCTTCTTCAGGCCCTTGTTGTAGTGGTTCTTGGCAAAGCACATGTTCCTCAGGAATTTGGGGTCCACTCCCTTAAGAGACTTATATCGTTGCAATCTTGGTTTCTTGATACCATTTTTGTGCCATTTTTGGGACTGGTTGAGTGTGGTGTGGTTCTTGGACTTGGCCATGTCTGCATTGTCGCCAAAGCTCTCAGAGCGCCAGCAACCGGAAGAGAAAGAGGAGTCCACCTTCTTAACAACAATATTCTCCTTCTCACAGAGTGATGGTTGGAGCCCCCCTGGAGACAAAGGGTGCCAACCAAACAGGTGGTCTCTACCAGTGTGCCTACAGCTCGGGCAGATGTGAGCCTGTCCCCTTGACGGGTGAGTCATGTACTGAATGTGGGGTCCCCCTTCCTGGATCCCAGGTCTGGGGCCTGTGGGAGGTCAGGAGTTCTACTCCTCAGTTTCATTCTCTGTCTGCAGACCTCATGACCTCAGACAGGTTTCACAACCCCATCAAAGGGCTCTCTGTCCATCTCACCTCGACTCCACCCTCAACAGCTCTAGTAACAAGCTGGGAGCTCCCTTGACTGCTCAGATCACCTTATCTCCCACGTTTGCGGTGAGCACATTTCCCTCTGTGTCCCTGGAGGTGACCATGTCTACCTGTTCCCCCCTCAGCACCCCCAGATACTGTGAATATTTCCCTGGGCCTGTCCCTGGCAGCTACCACCAAACCCTCCAGGCTGCTGGTGAGTCTTTCGAGGGTCACGGATGGGTCCTGAGGGGGAAAGTAGGGGCTTGGGGCTGCTGGGGTGGGAAGGCAGCCATGACAGTCTCCGCTGGCCCCTCTGTGCCCAGGCCTGTGGCCCCACTGTGCACCGGGCATGCAGGAAGAACATGCATTTCCTTGGGTTCTGCTTCCTGCTAGCCTACCCCTCCCGCCAGGCCCAGAGGCTCCCGGCTGATGTGCAGGGTGAGTATTCTGGCCTTTGGGTCAAGTGGAAACTTATACAACACCCTACAGATGGACAGGGACACTCTTGTCAGAGCAGATAAGAGAGGAGATAACTGGGGAAAATGATTTCTTGGATAGAGTTGAGATGTACCATTGTGTCCAAACCAACCCATGGCCGACCCTCCAGAGGGTTTTCAAAGGCAGTGTATCTCACAGGGGGAGACGGTCCATCCTGATGGACTGAACCACATTAGCTTTGAGAATTTCAGTGCAGTTTCTGACCACAAGGTCACCAGAGCTCGCTTTGGATGGAGGTTATTGTTGTTGTTGCTGTTGTTGTGTACCATGGAGTCGGAACCCACCCATAGCCCACCCTCCAGCGAATTTTCAGAGGCAGTGAATCATATGGGAAGAGATTGCCCAGCCTTCTGCGGAGCAACTGGTGGCCTCGAACTATTTTCTTTAAGGATTGCAGCGCAGCTTCTTGCCACTAGGCCACCAGAGCTCCCTTTGGATAGGGGTAGTGGTTCGAAACTCAGGCTGGGAAGCTACTGCCTGTTTTCACTCCCTGCCCCTCACCGACCCCCTGTGAGACATCTCCTGCGACCTCACTCTCTCTGTGCCTCAGTTTCTCTGTCAATTCTGTGGAAGTAAATGAAGATGGGTAGGGTTCAGAACTCGGCATGTGATGAGGGGTCAATAAATGCCATTTGCTGTTCTTTTTAGAGAGCAGGGATTTTTAAAAATAATTTTAATGAACATCTACAGAGAATTTGGATTTCCATTCATTCATTGCTGCACTTCTCTCCCCGCCCAGCCATCTCCCCCCGCCCCCCTCCCAGTTCACTCATCTCTTTCAAAAGTAAAAGAAAAA